ATAGTTGAAATGAAAGTCGCTTAGAATTGAAACATAATTCTTATTATGTATCAACTATAGTCAGGGTTATAGGTTTTTTAAAATTTTTTCAATCACTTCATAGTCATTAACATTGATTTTTCTCTCTCCAACATTAACAGCTTTGCAAGTCCTTGAACAAACCACAAGTTTCGTTACTTCAGCACTTCAGTGCTATGTGTTCAGTTTTCTACTAGTTTCGTTGAGAGAAAATTTTATTGTGGTGACGACTGCTTCACTCAACAAATATGAGATATTTATTTAATTCTGGATCATCTGACTTGAGCCTTTCACCTCCACTTCCTACCACTAATATAGTAAGCTGTAGAGTAAATTAACTGTTCGTACAGCTAAGGTGGCTCAAGTTAGCTTCGATTCCTGGATATACATAGAACAAAAATTAAATAGAGGATGGCTTACCTTAAATAAACAACGTTCGCTATCCTGCTTTAAAAAAGATTTTTTTAACTACGGCTAACACCTTGCAGCCGTAGGCATGAGTAGGTGTATAGGTAAGGATTCGATTGCCAAGTCCGGTATTCGGGGATTCAAATCTCGATTGGCCCAAGAACGAACGGTATTGAAAATGGTTCGGACAGGATCACTTTTTCGACCATTACCCATATAACGCCCTATCTTGACAAGCAATAATATGAAACCGTAGTATAACTTTCATAATTTCGGGCCAAAAATCAAAGTCGAAGAAACTCTGCGACTTGAATTATGTGAAAAGGGTGTGGTTATACGTTAATTAACAGAAGATAAAAAAAAAATTGAAGCAAAGATTTATAATGAAAGCTGATAGACGGCTAGTCAGACCGACCGATCGATATAATTTTAAATCGATTATGCTCATAATATTTCATAAGAATCCTTTCATTCTTTTTTCTGTTTATTAGAAACAAACGATGAAAAGTGCTTTCTTTCGATCCTTTTCTAATGAATAAAAAGATATTTGATAGCGACATTGTCGCTTTTGATCTATGAAGAAACCTGACAATGCCTTTACATGTAATTAACGCGCTACGCTTTAACAGTTCTCGTCAAGTAACCAAAAAGTAATTAATATTCTTACGTTATTGAGGAAATTTCGTCTTACGCCGGATATGTTTTCAACTAATTTTTGTTAATTATTTGCTCTACTGCGCTTGTACTACTTTTGAACACATCATATTTTTTAAGTTTAATTAATTAGAATCTACCATGTAGACACAGACACATGTATATGTGCATATATAACTATATATATATATATATATATATATATATATATATATATATGTTTTAAAAGTAAAAAAAAAAAAAAAATTAAAGGAACCGACGAAGGAAAATATTAATAATAAAAAGGAAAAGCTCTACAATATTAAGCGTAATTTGAAATCAATAAAAACGTTCAACGTTTTCTCTAAATGCAAAATTATTTAAATCTGAAATCGTACACATGTTGTGCGATAATGGTAATTGCTAATGATAATTTTTTCATTTTTATTCGACTTAATTACTAATAAGAGATTAGAATAAAAGTCGTGGCACTTTAATAAGACAAGAGTTTCTCTTTTCGTATTTATAATTATAAACAATTATACGGTGTATTACGCAATTTTGCATTTTATCACTAAATAATTCATCCAATCTAAAATCACTACATTAAAAATCACACTATATCTTACGTAGTACAATGTATTTAACTATTAGGGGGTCAAATGCAAACGACAACCTTAAAAGCCCTTCTCTCCTTCGTCGCATTAGTAGCAAAGTAGGTAAGAGTCGCGAATAACAAGCTATTGTTCACTGATTCAAATCTCCGTGCAGTGAAGTTTACTTTCGATCGTAAGTATAGTGAGTACTCAGTCTGTAAAGGTATACATACCGCTTATCAGATGGGCACAGGCAAACGTCCACTAGGCTACGGATACCAGCTCTGTTTGTTTCTTTCTTTCTCTTTCTCACCGTTACCGAGTTACGCGAATAAAGAACATCCTCTGAGTAGTTTGTCATATAAAATAAAAAGTCACTATTTCTTTAAACGGTTCAATGACGCTAATATTACAAACTATTTGGCATAGTACAAAAAGCAGCTTACGCATAATTACGAATCGTTGTAGAAAGCTTTAAAGCTTCTATTGCAAATCTACGAGAGTCAATAACCTTCTTTGTACCAACCATCAGGGAAAAGAATCTTGACGGTAATAGATTTCTGTAGTCAATGATAATGTTAAAGTAACTGAACGAATGGCTTTTAAGGAGTGAAGTTCACATGTATCGCCACAAATATCTCGGAATAAGAGCGTGAATAATCCTATGAATAAAAAACGAGTTTTTAATGCCTGAATTAGTCAGTAATGTTCTATCTAAAGTTTTTGAGGCGCTCTGCGATATACTATGATATTTGCGGTTGATCAAGACATATCTCAGCGTATTTACGAAGGTTTCAAATTTATTCTTCAAGACATAATCAAGCTTATTATTATATATATGCATGTTAATGATCATCAATCTTAAAGATAATGGACTAATTTTTACTCTACTATTAAAATGACAACTTCCATAACATATACAAAGACTTCTTATTCATGATTATATCGACTAGTCAAAAAAGTATTACGTCTGTTACGTACTAGAGAGCTTGCATTAGTATCTCAAATGCATAAGTTGTATGACATTTGCTCCTTGTAATGTGAGCGCGAGCGGAAGTTTGTTACATTTTAAAAATTGCTTATATGAAAAGCTTATTTACATGCAAAATGGGTGAAAATCAGGACAAAGACAAAGGAACAGGCATATATGATAGACAGTCTTAAGTTCGGCAGACATCTAAACTTTCATCAGTTTAAACAAAGCTGGTTACAAACAGACTCCCGGATGTTTTAATAATGTTCCCGGATTCGTTGAGCCCGGAATTTTTATTCCATGGAATGTGAATGCCTTCCAAAGCACATGTTGATATAAAGTAGAAAAATATGAATGTGTATTAAACTACAATAATGCAACCGGGACGAATCTACTACTGCACCTTTTTCGGAATCGTAAATACAGGCTTCGGTATAACTCTTTCTATTTTGTTGGCTACAGAAATTGCTCGGCCATACTAGGTTAGTTTAAGAATAAAAAATGATAACTACAGGCCAAATTACTTCCTAATACAAATAACTGCAAGCGCAAGACAATCTTACAGTACCATTCAACTATCGTTTCGTTTTAAATGAGGATTAGTTGAGTTGATATAACGGTAATTTGTTTGCAAAAATTACTTTTTCCGATGTTTTTCTTTAAAAAAAAAATCTACAACATTATTTTGATTAATGAAAATCATTTCTGGAAACGTTGGCCTGAAGGATTTGATTGGAACGGCTAGTAAAATAGGAAAGCAGTCTTAAACTACTTCGTGATATCGAAGGTTCATATAGAAAATTTTAAAATTTTTGCTAGAGGTTCACAAGTGGACAATTTCTTTTTAATCAGATTGTAGTGTGAGAATCTTCCCACGAAGACGATATTCAGGGACCCCTTCTATGCATCTGTCTGAGCAGCTCAAAAGTAGCATCTGTCAATGTTCGATCAGCGACAAGTTAATCGAACGGTTACAAATCAGATAAACAGATCAAACAACTTCATTAATCAATCACATAAGCAAATCGCCCATAACCTCAACATGCCAGACTGGTTACGCATAACACCAATATTAGCCAAGCAGATAAAATCGAGTAGCACCTAACCTCAATAAACAAATTGTACATGACCCCAACGTTATAATAGCTAGCTAAGCTATGAGAAACAACTAATGTTCGTCAAACGAAGACCTTATTCAACTCCTAGCTGCATGGATTGGATATAGCCTCAAGAATAAACCAGTAAACTCTTGTAAGCCATTTTTCGTCACGAATTTATGCGTAAACGGAATAAATGTTGTATTTTTTTTTAATATTATCGCGCATTATCACCTAAAATAATTCTTTCTTATGAAGTAAAAAAAAAATTATTGAATTGATGTCTTCTCCTACATGTAATTCAACTTTCAAAATTGTTTTTAAACAAACAAAAAAATCAAACCAGTCCTATGCAAATTAATTGAGCACAAAATATATTTTAAAATTTGAACATATAACAAAGGTTGCGGGCGCTGGATGTTACTCTGTATGCTGTCACAATCACAAATAAAATTAATTGACTGCGACAATACTTGATGATAATGCTGTAACTTTGCTCGTCTTTGACTCACGGATTTGAAAAAGAAAATCCTTGAAATAAAAAATGTGAGATTATCCAGAAAAAAAAAAAAATCAAACATCGTAACATCGCGTCTGTAATAAACCCATTTTAGTTGTAGGCTATTACTATCAAAATATTCCAACCACCCTTCATATAATAAGCTTAGCCTTAATGTATCGAGAGGATCGACCTCAAAGCAATCAGAAGTTTCTTATCACGTTTCTTTTTTATGCAATTCGTTAAATGTCGGCTTTTTTTTTTTTTATCAAATTCTTCTTTTAATATTTTGAATATTTAATTTTTTTTTGTAATTTTATTAAAATTAAGTGAAAGCATTCTCTATACTTAGAGAAAGAACCCGTCGTCGAAACATTACGATTATCTCGCTATTCGATCCGGCCAAAAAACAGCAAAGTTCAAAGAGCTTGCGCCTTTGGCAAAGAAGACTAAAAATACCCAAAGGTATCTAAGAAAAGAAGGAAAGCTGAAGATTGGTCTAACTTCATGAACCGCGCTTATACGCTTACTAGCAATGACAATGCTCAACTTCAACATATTGAGGATAATTTATTACATTTATCTATCTATGTCATATATCCTCTGAAAATGAATTTCAAATGTTTTTTTTCACACTATACATAAAATTAAAATATCTTGTATATTGACTTTTGATGGAATTTTTGTTATGAAAAAATATTTTATCTAAAATTTAAAAAAAAAATTTTTTTGTATCCGCTTTTATGAAATAAGTTATACTTTTTATCTTAACTTACCGTCAAATTGTTTCTGTAATCAATCAATTGGTTTGTTGCACTATCTCGCGACATATTTACTAACGTTTCTTACTTTTTTAAGTTCAATAATCTCAGCGAGAATACAGAATGAAAAGAAAAAATTCAGTTTAAAAAAAGCGAGCAATCACTTCAAAATTGTTTTCTTTATAATTCCTTGTTTTCCTTTGACAATCAGAATTTTTCCTTTTATATATATGTTCAGTTTATTTCAGTTGGACTACGAACCCGGTCAAACAAAAGCACAAATACTAAAATCGTACAAATGGTGTTTACTTATGTCTTTTATACTGTTGGCACATTGAATGAATTCTATTTACATGCAATAGTATGTGTTTTATATGTTTTATATCATTTGTTTTGCTTGCTGTGTTCATTCAGTTATCGTTTATCGCTAGTGATGGAAGTATTAAAGCAATTAAATGTAATTGCTTTCAAGGAAACAGGGAGAGCTTAACAAACCTAATACTTAACAAATATATTTTAGCCGCTAACTTGCTTTGTATAATATAATTTTTTTCTGGTATTAGTTTTTTCTTGAAATTAAAAACATAACTTAAGTTTCATGTATAATAAGCACCACCAAAATTTTCAAAAGGAAAAGCGAAAATACATATATATGTGTTTTCTTGTCACAGTTTTTGGGAGTTTGTATGAAATTTCATATTCCGAAGCAGTAATCACAGCAAAATACTTCAACGAAAATAAAGACAGAGAATTGAAAGAAATGATCAACAGAAAATCGATATATATTTGAAAGAATAATTGGATTGTCGCTTTGTGGTCAGCAATAAATTCAGCGTTTACTAAGAACCATATTCTCATTGCCTGCTTTCGGGAAATAATCTCGGCGTTTGATTCTGTCAATATCAACATCTTAAAATCCATTCTTCTCCCTTTGAATATCCATACCAAATTCTGTAATTTGTTATATAACCTCCTTCCCCACAAGAACATGTTCATTAACAATGATGACGTTGATGTGCAAAAGAGATCAAAGGAGAGGAGCATGTTCCCCGGGAACTGTATTGAGTCCTCTTTGCTTTAATTTTTATATTAACAAAATTTTCAGTTCTGGCGATCTTGTCATTTTTAGTTCCCGCTCTGATCCAGATTTGTGTAAGCGCAATTTGCAATCCGCCCTCGACATTATTTCCTCTCGCCTTGAATCACTCCAACTCGCACTTTCAGCCAATAAGACCAAATGCTGGATCTTTCTAAAAAAAGGAGAGACCCCATGGTTACTTCTGTGATCGTCTATGTTTCTTCTATCCCGTTTGTTAAAACTTTCAACTTTTTAGGCTTTGTCCCACACTCGAAACTTTCCCCAGCAGTTTAAATTGACAAAACTGCCAAACAATGTTTTCAACTCATTAATGTATTGAAATCAGACTAAAATTAGAATAAGCCTATTCCCTCTTATTGAACATTCCAAATAAGGGCTTTCTGAAACTGCAAAGAAAATGCCTTCTTCTGGCTCTTGGTAGTATGAATTCTATATACACACTAAGCTTGAAACAGATGGCAAATGTTATGGCTCTACAAGAAAGATTTGATTTGCTATTCTATCTTTTGAGAATAATCCGGCGTTAACTGTCACTTATAACTTTATACCACTCAATTCCTCTCCTTCCTTCTTTAAAATTTTTGCTGACAAAATTAATAACTTCAACATTCTAAGAACTGATGTGCATAGTTTATTAAAAATTCTTCTTGATTCTCAATATTTTCGACCATTCTTATCAGTGACAGTTGCTCTGGCAGAAGTACATCACCGCTACTCGAACTTGGTCAATACCAAATGAAAACATTCTTCACTTATCTTTACTGAGGGATCTAAGACCGACATTTTAGGCAACGGGTTTTGGTTTCCAGCTATTAATATAGAAGCCTGCTTCTCAAATCACCCATGTAGCATTATATTTTCCGCTGAATGTCTTGCGATCTTATAAGTCAACTACTTAGCGATTACTCAACCTCTAAAGGAATTGCTTATAGTGTCAGATAGTAAATCTGTCTTACACGCTTTACAATTATTTCTCTCAGGTAAAACTCTTGCCTACATATCAGAAATTAGACCCTTACTTTATCGCCTCAAGTCTGATGCATATTGTTTCCACTTTCTCTGGGTGCCCAGCACATGCGCATTCTTGGCAACAACACTGCAGATAAAATTACATTTTCGAGACCATCTCATTTTAAGGATCATATTGCTACAGATCTGAGAGCAATCGACAAAAAGCATTCAATACTTTCTTGGCAACAGCGATGGGATAAACTCACGTTATGATTGTCATTTATACTCTTTATTTCCGCAAATAAATATATCTCCTTGGTTTATAATTTGCGGTCTCAGACGTGACATTATTTAGCTTATTAACAGGCTGATGCTTAATCACACGGGATGTAATGATCATTTATTCAAAATTAATATAGTAAACAACCCTGTATGTACATTTGGAGTCTTACAATCTCCTGATCATATCCTATATGTTTGTTTGAATGTTACTCTATTCTCTTCTATTCGCCATTGCACAAATCGCAAAGTGAGTATATGTTGTCTTCGTGACCACAGCGTTCTTGACATTTTGGGTTCTCACCATTTTAACAGCTTACTACGCAATCTTTTCTTTTTTTAAATCATTTTATCAAGACATATAAGCGTTTAAATTATGAAACTATTCTCTTTTACACTTTGTTACTCCCACACTGCTCAGTTCCTTCACACTTCGTTTATTTTACTCCTCGCTGTTCGATTTTATCCTACGTGGCGGACGAGTAATATGCATATTTTAATACGAATTGAAAAAAAAATAAATAACGTGGCGAACGTATAACACGCAAAATTCAAAAGCCCTTAATCAAATAAACACTAAAATAAATAAATAATAGCATTATATGCTAAATCTAACCTCAACTTTACCAAGGCCCAGACAAAGAACTCTGAGTTCACGTTGGATTTTTTTTTACACATTTCAGCGAATCTTTATTTGGTTGGTTTGCTGAAGAAGAATAAAATACTTCAGTGTGAATTTTGTTATAAAACCGGATTATTAATTCAGAAAAAAAGATATGCTTGTGACTTCTGACATCTCTGCGATGTTACTTAGGATATGAAGCGTATAATTTATATTTATTTTAGCAATGTTTGGCTTTCTGTGTAATAATTATATTTGTGTAATAAATTGTTTTAGCTTTGTTCATATATTTTCAGAACAATTCCAACGGTCGTTGTTCGCTCCTAAAAATTTGATCGATTAAGCCACACAAAGAGCCCAAAAAATGTATATCACACTTTCACGTAGTCATTAAAAAAGTATAATATGTGTGGGAAACGCCTGAAAGGTCAACAATCAAATGGGCGCGGCGTAATAGACTTGCTGATATGATGAAATGTCTAGCGCAAGTTCTTAACAATGACTTGGTTTACTTTTTTATCTAAATGTCACATCGCCGGATTTCACAATTTCGAATAAATGGACCACAAGTGTAAATAATTATGCGAGTTTTCAATATATTCTTCGCATTGAGATGTCAGATAACGTCGGTCATTCATTTATTATACATTAAAATAAATAAAAAGCGATATGCACCTTGTGTCGAACTGTAGGCAGTTAAGCGCTTATATACATATATGAGCGTCGACCACATCGGAAGAAAGATTTAAATTAACGAAATAAGAGAAAGTATGCTAAAAACGTCTAATAAAAATTTTCATTTGATGTAAAAACTCAAAATTCCAATAAATTGTCATGCACATGCTATTTAGAGATATGTTTTTCTATAACACCAATCAGCCTGATATAAATTAAGAGACAAGACATTTTTAAAAATGTTTTAATTGCGTAGTTAACTGGTTAATCGAAGGTGTATAAAATTGACAATGAATTTTTTTCTTTTTAGATTTACTTATTAGCTTATTCATTTATTTATTTACACACATATATCGCGAGTTATGTAAACTCTTAACTTAAAACTAAATTCTATACTAAATATAAGGGCTTAACTTTTATAAAGTACGAAAAATAAAGAAAGAATAAAACAAGTGCGAATTTCATCTACAAATAGACAGGAGAAAAACCAAAAAAAAAAAAAGGAGAAAGAAAGCGTCTACACATCTATCGCAGAGAAACAATCGTAACATGCATAGATCTGCGCTAGGCCGAAACGTCGAGCATAAACCCACCGCAAATTTCTAAGAGCGACAAACCATTCTTATATAAGATTCCATTGGGATCTCTGGGAGGGCATATTCAAACATTGGTCTTATCAAGCTGCACTATAGCTTAAGATTACAATGTGTGGATTGTCGAGTCCTGTGAGCTACCTTTGAACGTGACCGAGTGCCCGTCTAACTTTCTTTATTTAGAAATGTTTATGCAGTTCGAAACCTAATCCTTGGCCAATTAAAGCTCCTACAGCATGGGAAAGGATCTAAGATATGTTTTCCAATTTGTATTTTTATACCTTCTTGGTATTTAAGTAACTTTAATGACTGCGCAGCATGAAAATAATTTATATTCTTATAAATAATATTGTAGGGAAGTAGCTACCGGTATTTGATCTGATAATAATAAATAATAATATATAACAAAGTTTATATGAGTCAATCAAATGCTTAGCAGCAACTACAATCCTTCCTAAGAATAAAAGCTTCTTGTATTTTTTCATATCTAAAGAGCCAGACTTAAGTGAGCGCCATGTACACAATTATCTAAGCCAGATTAAAAAATAGAGGAGTAGAATTTCAAGTTAAAGGAAGAGAACACTTTAATATAATCAGGGTACATTAAGACACATTAGGATTGACTTAATTACTGCGGGGAGATTATTGATGTACAAAAAAAAAAGGATTCTAATTTGGTGAGAAAATACCAAACAATTAGATGACTAAGGTAAGCGTATCAAGTTTTGCATAAACATCTACTATAGCTTGTAAATTAGAGAATTTAAAAAAAAAAAACCAAGCAAGCAAGAATATTACATTCGGTCGTACTGAATCTTGTACACCCATTACCGTGATTCTAAAAAAAGGAAAATAACTAAATTTTTATATTCTACAATATTGGATGGGCGCGGTTGACTTTTTCTATTTTCAAAATAAAAACGGAAATTTATATGGTGCATGTGTTGTACCTTTTGACTAATCAGCAAAAAAACACGCAAAACAAAGGTGTTTGCAGTTTTCGTTACATGCAAGTGTAGGCATTGTAGGCGTATCCTTCAATCGATTTAGACCATTTCCAAATCCTTTTGCAAGTTTGT